GCGCCTATAGCTCAAGTGGCTAAGGCGCCAGCCATATACACCAGAGCTGGAGGGTTCGAATCCAGCCTGGATCTGCCAAACAACAATTACAACTACAACTAAAAAATAGTTGGGGGTTGTGGCTGGCGCCTGTAGTCCCAGCTACTTGGGAGGCTGAGGCAAGAGGATTGCTCAAGCCTGAGAGTTGGAGGTTGCTGTGAGCTATGATGCCACAGCACTCAGAATGAGATGCTGTCTCAAAAAAAGAAAACACATTTTGTTTTTTTTAATTAACATACAGTAAAATGTACCTTGTTTGGTTATATAAAGTTCTGTAAATTTTAACACACATAAATTTGTGTAACTACTTTCATAATCAGGATGTAGAATAGTTTAATTATGCCATAAAACTCATTTTGTCATTAGACCATTCCTGGCAAACACAGTGATTTTTGTCCTTTGGAACACATAGGCTTTTGTTACTGGCTTCTTTAGGAAACTAAGCATAACGCTTAGTTATAATGCTAAGCATAATGCTTGTTAGGTGTGTTAATAATTGAGATATCAATATTTTTTGTTCTTCTTTATTGCTGAGTAGTATTCCATTGTATGGGTATCCCACAGTTCTTTTATCCATTCATCTGTTTGGATTTAGGTTGTTTTCAGTTTTGAGTAATTGTGAATAGAGTTGCTACAAACATTTGCATGAACATGAGTGTTCATTTCTCCAGGATAAATACCCATGAGTAAGATTGCTTGATCATTATGGTAAGTGTATGTTATACTTTTAAAGAAACTGCCAAATTGTGTTTCAAGGTGTCTGTACCATTTTGTATTTCACTGAGCAATGCATGAGAGATTCATTTGATCCACATTCTAGTTAGCATTTGGTTTTGTTAGTATTTTTCATGTTAGTCACTCTAATAGATAGATGGTGATACATTATTGTGGCTTTAATGTGCTTTTCCTTGATGGCTGCTGATGTTGAACATCTGATTTGTCATTCCTATATCTTCTTAGATGAAGATGTTTTACCTATTTTTTTAATTGGGTTGTTTATTTCCATACTGTTGAGTTTGAGAGTTTCTTACATACTCTGGATGCATGCCCCCTTTGTCAGATATATAATTTGCAAGTAATTTCTCCCAGCCTATAGCTTATCTTTTCATTCTCTTAACGGTCAGTGCCTTCCACAGAGTGCTGTTTATTTTTTGTTTTTTACTTTTCTTGGTTGGGGGGGGGATGGTCTTGCTTTGTTGTTCAGACTGGAGTGCAGTGGTACAATCGTAACTCACTGCAAACTCATACTCCTGGGGCTCAATCCATATACTCCTGTCTGGGCTTCTTGAGTAGCTGGGACTATAGGTGTGAACCACCACACCTGGCTAACTTAAAAAATTGTTATTTAGAGAGGAAGTCTCTGTATGTTGCCCAGACTGGTGATGAACCTCAGTCCTCAAAAGGTCCTCCTGTCTTGGCCTCCTGGAGTTCTGGGATTACAGGTATGAGTCACTGTACCTAGCCTCTTTTTTATCTTTTATGATTTTCTTTTCTTCTCCCCAGCTCTCCCCTCAACATGTTAAGTAACAATTATAGTTATCCCCCCTTCCTTGAATGCTTTTCTAAAAATAAAAACAGCTTTATTGAGTTATAATTTATATTCCATAAACCTTATCTGTTTTAAAACATGTACAATTCTAGCTGGGCACCCATAGCTCAGTGAATAGGGTGCTAGACACATACACAGAGGCTGGCAGGTTTGAACCTGGCCTGGGCCTGCTAAACAACAATGACAATTACTACCAAAAAATAGCTGGGCATTGTGGCAGACACATGTAATCCCAGCTACTTGGGAGGCTGAGGGAGGAGAATAGCGTAAGCCCAAAGAGTTTGAGGTTACTGTGAGCTGTGACGCCAGAGCACTCTATCCAGGGCAACATAGTGAGACTCTGTCTCAAAAAACAAGCAAGCAAGCAAACAAACAAACAAAAAAACCCATGTACAATTCAGTGATTTTTTTTAATAAGTAAATGTATGGAATTGGGCAGTCCTCATCATGATATTCACTTTTAGAACATTTTTGTCACTCACAAGATCCCTTGTACTGGTTTATAGTCTGTCAGCATTCTTATCTCCCCACCCCCGTCCCAGGTAACCACTCACCTGCTATCTTTATATATTTGCTTTTCCTCAGCATTGCATAGGAATGGAATCATGTAATATGTAGACTTTTCTTTCCACATAACATAATGTTTTTATTGCTTTATGGAAATACAAT